TTTATCAGGAATCCACCGTTCATGGTGAATCTGCGGCATCCCAGGGCTTGTCTTGTGATTGCACCTGAAGAAAAGGCAGCTCGGACAGCCATAGAAACCCACTTTTGAAACAGCCTGAGTCCACATGGGTCAGGCACCGGCTGTAGAACTGAGAATTCTCTGAATCAACTTCCGGGTAGGATGCAATGTTAATCTGTAATAAAAATATGCTAGTTTGAAACTTACATTAATTTATATAAAATTATAACTCATCAGTAATCATCATGAATTATTTAGACCTTTGATCAACAAAATACTTTTTTTTAGAGAGGAGGATTTTATTCCTGATCTCTTTAAGAGTTGCTGGACCATGATAATAAAAAGCAGAAAACTTTTATCAGGATTTTCTACAGACAATGCCCCCAAGGACCTGCCCTTGGTAGATCACTGACTCACAAGGTGGTTATGAGGATTAAATGAATTAAAAACAATTAAAGCACTTAGAAGAGGGCTTGATATTAGCTATTACTGGTTTTTCTACAACATATAAATCCCACTGCTAAAAGAGTCCACGGGTATTTGATGAGGGCTGCTGATGAGCCTCAAAAATCCTTATATTAAGAAGGTGGAAATAGGCCAGGCACAGTGGCTCATGCCTGTAATCCCAGCACTTTAGGTGACTGAGGTGGGTGGATCACTTGAAGTCAGGAGTTCAAGACCAGCCTAACCAACATGGTGAAACTCCTTCTCTACTAAAAATACAAAATTAGCCAGGCGTGGTGGTGCACTCCTGTAATCCCAGCTACTCAAGCATGAGCCACCGTGCCTGGGAAGTTTATTTATTTTTATTGTTTGTATGGTATTGTATTATATGACTATACCTCAATTTATTTATCCATTCTACAGTTCATGAACACTGGAGTTGTTCCAGATTTGGGCTAATAGGAACATTATGTTAGTTGCATTTCCTTGGTTACTAACAGGGTTGGGCATCCTTCATATGTCTGTTGGCTATTTGGATTCCCTTTTTCTGAAACGCATATCAGGGTTTTTGGGGGCCCATTTTTCTATGTTTTGTTTATTCCTTACTGATTTATAGACATTCTTTATGTAGTTTGAGCTCTCTGTCAGTTTTATGTGCCCCTACTATTTTCTTCCACTCTGTGGCTTGCCTTCTCGCTCTCTTAATGCTGTCTTTTGATGAACAAAATTCTTATATTTAATGTACTCAAATTTATCAGTTTTGTTTAACCTTATAAAAGCTTTTTTTTTTCTTGATTTTTTCAACTTGCTTTTCACATATACTGTGCCTGGAATTGAATTTTGTATATGGTTTGCGGTAGGGGCCTCATTTCATGTTTTCCTTGTGGATACTCAATTGTCCCAGCCACATACATTTTTAAAATAGTTTTCTCTCTATCCTCCTTCAATTTTATGTTTGTCATGAATCAAGTGTCCATATACATCTGGGTCTCTTTAAGAACACTCTACCCTATTCCATTAGTCTATTATCTGTCCTTGAACAAATACTAGGCTGCTTTAATTAATGTAGTGTTATTTTAAGTCTTGATACCGGGCAGAGGAAATCCACTCCCTTCTTTGTTTTTCAGGAATAGCTTAACTACTTTTGGTCTTTTCATTTCCATATACATTTTAGAATCTGCTTGTTGGGATTTCAGTTGGGACTACAGTAAATCTATACACCAAGTTCATGTAGGATTGGTATTTTTATGACATTGAATCTTTCAGTGCATGAATACGGTGTTGTTTCTCTTTTATTTAGGTCTTCCTTAAGAAAAATTTACAGTTTTCTGCATACAGGTCTTGAAATGTTTTGTTAGATTTATTCCTAGGTACTTGATATTCCTTTCAACACAAATGTAAATGATATATTTTTCTTTTAAATTAATATTCTAACTGTTTGTTACTAACAGAGAAATGTAGTTGATTGTTGTATATTGAGTAGCCTTGTAAAACTCATAATTTCTAATATCTTATTCTGTTTTCTATGTAGTCAATCATTATCTTCAAAATAACAATAGTTTTGCTCTTTCCTTTTTAAATCTTTATGCTTTTTAGTATATTTTTCTTGTCTTACTCTATTGGCTGAAACTTCTACTCTAAATGTTGAAGGGAAGTAGTTATTATGGGCATCTTTGTCCTTATCATGATTTCCAGAGGAAAGTATTTAATATTTCATTATTAAGTTTGATGATTGCTGAAGATTTATTGTAGGTAAACAATATCACATTAATAAGTTCCCTTCTTCTTTCTAGTTTGTTGATAGTGTTTATTTTAAATAATAAATGAGTGTTATGCCTTATAATTGCTTTTTTGCATCTGTGAAACAATCACGTTTTTGCTTTATATTCTCAGTGTGATGAATTACACTGATTGATTTTTTTAACATTAAGCCAGCTTTGTGTCTTTGAGATAAACTAAATTTAGTAATGAAGTATCCTCCTATTTCATATCTCCGGATTCAGACTGCTGTTGTTTAGATTTTTTGCATCTGCAGTCATACATAATATTCATCTTTCATCTCCCTTCTACTATGAATTAAGGTTTCAAGTCTATGTTAGTCTCAAAAATGAGTTGAAGAATATACCTTCTTCCATTTTCTGAGAGTCTGAAAGATTGGCATTATTTCTCACTTAAATATTTTGTGAAATGTATACATGTGCAACTTCATAACCTAAAAAGGGCCATCTTCCAAATTACATTAAAATTTACACCATTACATAAAATGTCAATTGTAATAAATTATAATCATGTAAAATTACAACCACCTAATTAAAAAATTTAAAATTACAAATAGAGAAAAATCATATAAATTACAATTTTACAAAAACTGCATAATACATTACAAACTTACATGACAAAATCTTCCCTAAAACAAGCTTTGGAGTCAGACCGTCTCTGTATGGATTTTGGCGCTGAGGACAGGCTGTGCAATCCTGTGCCAATCTCTACACCTCTGAGTTCTCAATGTCCTTATCTACCATGTGGGTTTGCTAATGGTTCCTCCACCTCTTTCAGATGTCAGGAGGAGTAAATGAAACAGTGATATGTAAATCAATTCGCCTTGAGCTTGGTCTATAAAAGATCTTTAATATTTGGTAACAACATTCATGATTATATGTTAATAATTTAATTATTCACTCAAGTGTTTATTGAGCATCTATTGTGGGGCCAGGCACACTGGATACTGGGGAAGCAACGGGAGGCAAAATTGGATGTGGCCTTTCACGCACCTGGAGCAAGGATTCAGCGTTTGTTCCCGCAGATCCATGACCCACCCCCACTGAAATGAAACGGAGGCCGATGTTTACCGTGCCACCTCTGTGTACCTCTTTAGAGCTCTGCGTACTGCTTTTGTGCCAGATGGGCAAGAATAAATGAAAGCAGCCATTTCTGCTAGGGAGCAATCAGAGCCTAATATTGAGCTCTTTGGAAACCGACTCATAGCAGTCATAGGCAAGGGCCACTTCCTTTAGGAAATGAATGAAGACAACTTGCTTTTCCTAAGCTAGGTTCCCCGTTTGTATTTCTTGACAAGGGCTAAATGTGTCATACAAAGGACTGTTTTCATTGTCCCTGTTTTTCACAGTTTCTTCCAGTCCCCACCAGCTTCTCTGCTGCAGGGAGTTTACCAGGAAACAGGTGCACAAAAGGAAGAACTTGCTGAGGGCCTGGCAAACTGGAAACTCAATCCAGGTGGCCAAGGTCTAATCTTCCCCTACACCAGGTAATTTCTCTCCCTTGCATCTGAGCTTGTGAAATCAATATCAATAGTTCTCAGGTGGTCCATGGCTCTTCCAGTACTTCTGGAAATCTTTGCACCAGTACCTTTTTTTTTTTTTTTTTGCTATACATGGTTTTGATTCTCTGCTACACATTTCTCAAATGGCTTTATGAGGCCTCAGGAATAATACCTATTTCTTGGCTTTGTGTGAGGACTCAGTGAGACATGTCAGGAATGCTGTGATGTCTGGTTGGCAGCACGGAATAAGGGCTCATTTATTGGACTGCTTGTTGGGTCAGGTGGGGCAGTCTATCTGTAGATATACAGATACACAGATCCATGAACATATAGATGGAGATACAGCTATAGATAGATGCATATGTACACATACATATAGCATATTCACATACATGTATTAATTCAACATTTTTTCTTTTTTGAGACAGAGTCTCAGTCCGTCACCCAGGCTGGAGTGCAGTGGTGCGATCTCGGCTCACTGCAACTGCAACCTCTGCCTCCTGGGTTCAAGCAATTCTTGTGCCTCAGCCTCTCTAGTAGCTGGAATTACAGATGTGTACCACCACCACACCTGGCTAGTTTTTTTTTGTTTTGTTTTTTGTTTGTTTGGTTTTTTTGTATTTTTAGTAGAGCCAGTGTTTCGCCATGTTGGCTAGACTGGTTTTGAACTCCTGACTTCAAGTGATCTGCCCTCCTTGGCCTCCCAAAGTGCTGGGATTACAGGTGTGAGCCACTGTGTCTGGCCTAATTCAACATTTTAACAAATAATCTAGTGCCTACTATGTGCAATTCACTGTATTCATATTTACATGAGTGGATCAATTATTAGTCCTATTTGTGAAATCCAAAGAAAGAATGTAACATTTGAGTTTATGTAAAAAGTGTTGGAAAAACTGTTTTCCCAAATGAGCTAAGATGGAGCAATGGGACTTTTAGGGGTAGGCTTCACAAGTTACCTGCTAATCATTGATCTCAATGTAGGCTAACCCTGGGCAGTGAGAGATGGCCATTCAAGGGCACCACTGCAGAAGACCTGGCATTCTGCCTCCTTGTGGAGTCAGACTTTGGCCCCCTGCAGTGTTTGCCATTGTGGGGGCATCAGATGCTGATGGGCAGAATGAATGTGGAGGAAGTTGGCTTCACTAGGGCAAGGAATGAATGGCCACCACTGCTTTTGTGCCAAAAGACTGAGCCTCCCTGGGAGAGTGGACAAGAACAGGCTGGAGGAGGGGGTGCCCTTCATCATCTTGTGAGCATCTGGGCCAAGTTCAGGGCTGGTGCTCTCGTTCAGATAAATTTAGCTGGTGGTGCAGAGATCTGTGAGCTTGCTTTTACAGGACTTTAATGATATATAAAAGCAGCATGAAGGGCTCCTGACTGTGGATTAATTTGGAGATGACTTTCTCTGTTGAAGAGTGGCAAGACTCTTGCAAGTTCTTAAAAATGCACTTGTTTGGTATGAGAATGAAAAGCAGTGGCTGAAGAACCAGTCTTCAATGGGCAAGGCTTCTCTGGTAAGTTAAACAAATTCAGGCTGGGATTTAGAGGAATTCGTGCTCGTGTAAGGATTAGGGCATGCCAAAGTAAAAACTCCAGTATGCAAAAGTATTCCTGGGAGGCGATTTAGAAATACAGATACTTGCATTTATTTAACAGATCTGGAGCAGTTACGCTCTGCTGCAAAGGCTGCCACTACAGATGCAAGAGGAAAGGGCCCTCATGATTTCTGTTTGATTGTGGCCACCAAGTTTAAATGCGGGAATGTAGGAATTACAAAAGCATGGAGGAAGGGTGGGAATTTTTGAAACTCACGAATAACCTTGTAAATGGAAGAGCCTGTTTTAACCCCGAAAAAGGAATAAAAGACTTGAGTTTACATGAGAAGTGTTTAAAAAAAAATTTCCCCTATACCCTTGCCTTCTGGTTAATTCCATTTTAAAATTGCAATTTAAAGCTAAATTAAAAGTAAGCCAATGTTGTGGAGGCATGGAGTGGAATACAGGTACCTGGGCCCCACTTCCCAAGATTTGGATTTAGCTGGTCTGGGATAGGTCCCCAATTCTGAATTTCTAACAAGCTCCCAGGTATGCCGATGCTGCTGGTTGCACATCATACCTGGGGTGGCACTGAGTAAGAGGTTGTTAGTTTTCCATTTTTGAAGGTATTGAATAGAGAATGGTTCTCACATTTGACTGCATTAGAGTCAACTGGGGAGCTTTAAACAAGCCCTAGTATCCTGACTGCATCCCAGGCCAACAACAGCAGAAAGTCACCTAAAAGCAAGCTCACGGATCTCTGCACCACCAGCTACATCCATCTGAACGAGAGCACCAGCCCTGAACTTGACCCAGATGCTCACAAGATGATGAAGGCTATGGGGTTCAGGCATCTGTATTTTTAATAGCTTCCCACATAGTTCAATGTGTAGCCGAGGTGAAGAACTGCTGCTCTGGGAGGAAATTATTTCAGGCAACGGCAACCAAAGGTCTTAGTCATCATGAGGTGTCAGAATAACTTTGGAGACCACGAATATTTTGTAACGCTTCCTGTCCTATCTTGAAATGAAATTCACAGACTGTATAATCTACTTACACGCATCATTAAAAAAAGTTCTTTCTGTAATATAAAGTAGGAACAAAAGAGAAGTTGAAAAAGGTAACTTTTTGTAAACAGACACACGCACACCCACACATACACACCCCCCCCCCCCACACACATATTCTATAGGTGAATGCTTGGGTACAAGTTCTCTAGAAGACTAATAAAGTATCCAGGTGTTTGTCCTGTAAGAATGTGATCCCCCCAGCCCCAGAGCCAGGCCAAGCCTGGAGCACAGGACCAGTGACTCAGACACCACTGGCTTGGTGTCATGGTGCCGTGGTTTTCCATACTGGTGAAAAACGCTCAGTAAACTTCTGGACACAACAACACACGTTGACTGACTCTGCATTCCTGCATATTCCGCTCATACTAAGTACTAGGCAACATTGCTCTGTGATTACATGTCAGAGATTTAGGGTCTACGGTAGGTAATTACCAACTGGTTGTTCATCGACATGCATTTTGGGCTGAATTTTGAGCATTTCAGAAATTCTAGCTTCCCTCTTCCTTTGCCCAAATGCGAAGATGTCTTCACTATAATTCAGCAATCACAAACGGCCCCCTCGAATGTCTCAGAGCTCCCCGTTGAACACTCATGTGGAATAAGGAGTGACGGTGAGCTCACTGAAAAGCATCCGACGCCAGGTGCATTCCACCTTCCACACCGCAGCAGCGTCCCGCAGGCCAGAGCTGGTGGGCGAAACTGTGGTGGGCGAAACTGTGGTGGGTGAAAATGCGGTGGGCTGGATAAAGGACTCCCACCCCAGATGGCCGCAGGGGTCCATTCAGGGGAGTGGAGAGAGAAGGGCTGTGGGCTTCCAGTCAAGCTTTACCCTCACTGAAAGTTCAGGTTCAGGACCCAGTCCCCGAGCGTGAAAAGCGACCCTTATAGAAGAGGTAAAGGAACCTCCTTCAAATCCCCTGCACCCGTGCCCCTCCCTCAAAGAGAATCCTGGGAAATATTTAGCGATCTCCAGTGCCCTCTAGTGGCAGATACTTGTCATGCCAGGCACCAGAAGATGGTTAGTTTAATTTTTATTGTTTAAAAACATCACACAAGCTCATGCAGGTTTATACAGTAACAATCTCAAGCTTTCCTGCATTTCCTTTTATCATCCCAATCTTATTACACCCGAGAGAACATTTCCATTCCTTTCCTATGCATTTACAAATGATATATATGTATATTATATATTCGTTTCTATATGTTACACAGAGATGTAGACATGTAGAAGCATATATGTGCACATATGCTTAGGTACTTATACATAAGCATAAAATATATTTTGTATGGCATATATGTATATCTATTTTGTATTTACAAGTGTAAAAAATTTTAAAACTTTATATAAATATATAAAAATATAATACATTTAATTATATACTTTATACAATATGTTTATATAAAGTTTACGCTTATATTGATAATATATTTTTATGTACTATATAAAGTCTGAAAATATATTGTATAAGGTTTATTTTTATTTTTATTTATTTATTTTGAGACACTTTCTGTTGCCCAGGCTGGAGTGCAATGGCACAGTTCACTGAAGCCCTGAACTCCGGGGCTCAAGGGATCCTCCCACCTCAGCCTCCAAAGTGGCTAGGACTACAGGTGCAAGTTGCCATGCCTGGCTAATTTTTTGTAGAGACAGGGTCTCCCTGTGATGCTCAGGCTAGTCTTGAACTACTGGGTTCAAGCAATCCTCCCGTCTTGGCCTCCCAAAGTGCTGGAATTACAGGTGTGAGCCACACACCCAGCCTGAGGTTTTTAAACAGCAGTGATCTGACTGTTTCACTGCTGCATGGTGTTGTGCAGCGTGGAAATAACCTGACTGGTTTGATTTTTCTCCCCTACAGATGGACATTTAAATGGCTTTCATTTATCTTCCATTACAAGAATACTTTGTAAATCTATGTGAATTTTACTATAAGAAACACTTCTAGCTTTTCATTTAAGTCAGAGACTCAAATCTGAAATGCAAAAGCTTGTAAAACTCTGAGGTGTTAGAAATCATCCCGCCAAAGGAGTGAAGTGAAGGGAAGTTTCATAAACTTGGAACGGAAGGAAAAGGCTGGACAGGAGTGGGATGGCGTGGCTGAGAGGGAGAGAGGAGGCTGGGTGTGGGTGAGGGGTGGGAAGTGTGGGATGGCGTGGCTGAGAGGGAGAGAGGAGGCTGGGTGTAGGTGAGGGGTGGGAAGTGTGGGATGGCGTGGCTGAGAGGGAGAGAGGAGGCTGGGTGTGGGTGAGGGGTGGGAAGTGTGGGATGGCGTGGCTGAGAGGGAGAGAGGAGGCTGGGTGTGGGTGAGGGGTGGGAAGTGTGGGATGGCGTGGCTGAGAGGGAGAGAGGAGGCTGGGTGTGGGTGAGGGGTGGGAAGTGTGGGATGGCGTGGCTGAGAGGGAGGTAGGAGGCTGGGTGTGGGTGAGGGGTGGGAAGTGTGGGATGGCGTGGCCGAGAGGGAGAGAGGAGGCTGGATATGGGTGAGGAGTGGGAAGCGGGAGCATTGTTTTCACCTAAAGCTGTATTCAGGCCCTGGGGTTTTTGTTTTTATGTTTATTTAGAAAATAGATAAAACTTTAATCTGGTTCAAAATTCAACAACAGAAAGGTGTTAGATCTCATTTTCCTCATCCTTCTGTCTTCCAGCCACATCATTCTCCTCCACAGAGCCAACCAAAGTAATCGGTGTCTTCTGCATCCTTCCAGAGATAGTTCATGCATAAGCAAAAAAACAAAAAACAAAACAAAACAAAAACAAAAAACTTTCTTTCTCTTTCTTGTTTTCCCTTCAAAAACCACCAATAATTGTACCTGATATACATAGTCTGCCCCCTTTTCTCATTAAATAATGGGAGATTATGTCATTACGAAGAATCAGATTTCTTCATTCCCTTTGCTTGGCATTCCGTTATGTGGACGAGCTGTTATTTATTTAACTAGTCCCCACCTGAAGGACACCTTGGTGGGTTCCAATCTTTTCTATGACAACAGTGCCACAATGAGTAGCCTTGTACAACTGTCATTATGTGCATGTGTGGGGACACATGTAGGATATAGTCCTGGTAGTGGAATTCCTGGCTCAGAGTGTTTTTTGAAAAGAACTGCAAGTCGCCGTCTGTGGAAGCCTTGCCAGTTTGTACACTTGTGTGATTCGCTTCACCTCTATCAGCACTGGAGTCATTGAGTGTTATGTTATTTGTCAACTGGATAAGTGAAAAATGGTATCTCAGGGCGCGTTATGGGACATGTTAAAGTACGAGTGCAGTCAAATATCTTTTCAAACGCTGATGAGTTTTAGTGCCTTTCTTTAGAGGAATCTTGGGTGCTGGTCTTACTGACTTAGAGCCTCTTCCTCAATCTGCATTGCCTTAGCTGGCCCCAGTGCACTTTAGGGCATTACATGGATTTGGGGTTTTTTTTCATCCTGCTCTCCTTCCTTTGGGAGTGGCCTCCGAGGCTGACATCTTCCCATTCCCCTTGCTTCCCTCCTGTCTCTGTCTCAGCCACGCCATCCCACTCCTGTCCACAAGCCGGGTGCACAAGCCATTCCAGAGGGACTTTACCTCACTGGAATGAACGTGGCAAGGGGCCTGGGTGTTGTGCTCCTCCCTCCATGGGCTCTGGTGCTCTGGCTCCCAGTTTATGACCCATGATCCTCTCTTGTTCCATGTGCGTGACCTCTCCGTCCGATAGCATAAGCAATTTTCAAACAGCCACTCCAGCTGGATGCCCCCAGGCAAGTCCTGCACTTTCCCAGCTTTACATCCTGGCCTGTGCTGCCCCCTCCATGTGTGATGCCCTCCTTGAGTCTGGCATGGGTGCATGGCTGCCTGCTCCAGCAGGTCAACCCTCGGGCACATGAACTTACCCTACACATGCTCTTGTGGCACCAGCTGTCTTCGTAGCTGGTGGCCACACCAGGAAACATTTCCTAGCCTCTTGTTTCTCTTGAAAATTGTGTCATCAAATCATAGAACATCGTAAACAGTTAAGAAGAAAATTAACATGCAAAATTAACAGAAGAAAGGGAAGAAAGAGAAAATGCAATCTGCCCCAAAGCTGTTCTCGACAATTTTTTGGAGTGATTTCATATTATTTTAAGTTTTATGAAGAAAGTACAATTTTATGAATATTTGTATCTTGCTATTTCATATTCGCTGCAATTCAATGTGTAAAAGTTGCCACAGGGACACTAAGTGGTAAAAGAGTTAATGGTCTTGCCATCCACTAAGTGCATGGAACCGGAATAGAAAAGGGCCCTGATTCCCACTGCCCAAGGCCAAATTTCCATCCACGCCAAGCATGCTTTTCAGCATCTCCACTTTCAGTTGCTATTATCTCTCTGCCCTTGCTTCTTCCAGCACCCCAGGGAAAAAGCTCCATCACATTTTGGAGGGAAATAAAGAAATAGAACCAAAAACCTATTTGATTTCAGCTTTTGGTTGGTGGTTAATAACCGAGATAGCTCAGGCATTTTTCCAGGTTGGGGTGCAGTGGTGCCATCATAGCTTACTGCAGCCTCGAATGCCTGGGCTCAAGCGATCCTCCGGCCTCAGCCTCCTGAGTTGCCTGGTTAATTAAAAAAATATTTTGTAAAGACAGGTGTCTCACTATGTTGCCCAGGCTGGTCTCGAACTCCTAACCTCAGGAGATCCTCCCGCCTTGGTCTCCCAAAGTGTTAGGATTATAGGCCTGAGCCACTACACCTGGCCCAAGCATTTACTTAAAGAGGTGGGATGAGCAAAGAGTTCCTGGAGGGAAGCTAGCTTTCACCTGTCTTCCTGCTGTTTGTGAATTCAGGATTCATCTGTCCACATTGATGGTTTTCTTAGCTTGTGAGGTTACTGAAACGCAATTATTATAGATCGAAAACTTTCCCCAATGGCCCCTTGAGACAGGTTGAATAATGTCGTTTAATCTCTATAACCTTCCTCTGAAGTAGGCATGGTCACTCTCTCTTTTAATGACGAGAAAAACAGGGAAGAGAAGTCCATAGGAGGATGGAAACTTGGCCTTGGGCAGTGGGAATCAGGGCCCTGTTCTGTTCTGGTTCCATGCACTTAGTGGATGGGAAGACCACTAACTCTTTACCACTTAGTGTCACCGTGGCAGCTTTTACACATTGAATTGCAGTGAATGTGAAATAGCAAGATACAAATATTAATAAAATTGTACTTTCTGCATAAAGCTTAAAATAATGTGAAGTCACTCAAAAAATGGTCAAGAACAGCTTTGGGGCAGATTCCTCCCTCCCTCCCTCCCTCCTTTCCTTCCTCCCTTCCTTTCCGTGGAGAGATTGTTACAGGGAGGCCTATGGGATCCTGCTTCACTGTAGTTTGGGAGGCAAATGCTATGTGGGGGCTGGTAGGAGGCAGCGCTGTGCTTGCTGGAGTTAAGCTCTAACCTGAGTTGGGTTTGCATCCAGCTGCTGGTTGACCCAGGGAGGTCTCCAGCTGCTGCTTAGAAACCAACAAAAAGAGTAGCGAGTTCCAGAAACACTGGAGTAAGATGGTGACTTGGTGATAAAAAGTCTTTCTGGAGGAAAGGGAAAACACTCCCATTTTATTATCTGTGAAATCTGGTGGCCAATGAAACCACTTCCCATTGACTTGGGTGGGGAAGGCAGATACTTAGATTCATGTTCCCAAAGGAGAACATTATGCAGTGGAAGATGTAGCTTCACAGTATGTCCCACTCTGTCAGGGCTCTGTGCTGCACATAGACTCTGATGTGAATTGGCATTCTTCCTCCCTGGGGTTGTGCAGTGCCCAGCCTGGGCAGCTGTATACTCCAGCCCTGGATAGGTTGATTTGTTTAAGTAAGGCTATTTGCTAGCAGGTATACGGAGATAATGCATTTTATATGTAGAGTTAGTGTCTTTTAAAAAGAGAAAGCTCAAAAAACCTGAAGACATAAAAAGCAATCTATTCACTCCTGCACCTCTCCCTCCTGCAGACACTGAGATCTTCCCCGGAGGCTCTGATGTGGGGGCTCCCTGTAGGTGCAAAGACCTGGTTCTTCAGACTCCATCCATGGAAGGAGGGAACACCAGTCGCAGGGAAGTGGGCTCTGCATGGGGTTCCAGACACAGTAAAACAGGGCCTGGCACAGGTAGAATGGGGGAAAAAGGGGCCCTAGTCAAAGGGCAGGGCAGCCTCAAAGTTGACCCCAAGCCTGGGACCAGGGGGTACTTCTGCTCCCTTCTGCACCCAGAGTCGGAAGAAACAGTTCATTCCTCTTAACCCTTTCTTTGAATCATTCCTGCAACTTGGCATCCCTGAAACCACATAGGGAAATCACTCCTGTTGTAAACCCTTTCTTGGTGGCCCCCTGTGGCAGCAGTGACTTAAAGTCTCATCACTCATGGTAGTTGTGTTCTATAAAGCTGCCATGGACACTGAACTAGTAGACGCTGAATCGTTGCTCCTAGGAGAAGCATAGAGTTAGATTCCTGCTAGCCTCTGGTCATGTTTTGTCAACTGATCAGTACATAACCTCGTTCTATGTATGTTTCTGTTGACAGATGCCTTGTTTGAGGTACAGTGCGAACCCATTAGCACTGAACTCAGGACCAGCAACGCTGTAACTCAGGCCTGAAGGAAGCATTTCTAGCACATGAATTTCCTCCGTAAGGCACCTCACAGCCTCTTGTGCCTGGGAACTCTAGCCAGCACTGCAACACGATGCCTGGGGCCATTATAAATGTGAAATTACCAAAGAAACCCCACAAAAATGTGAAAATCATGGCACTAAATAGACCACAAAAAGAATGCTTATTTGCAGTATGAGAACTGGAACCAGAAGGTAGGATGTCATTGTGTTCTTCCTCAGCACTGGGTGACTCAAATTTCTCTCCACTCTGCCGGTGTCTTTGAGTGACCAGGAAATTGCTGGGAATATTGATTTTGGGATAACAAATAAATTTTATTGAGTAGCTGAATTTGCAAATATGGAATCCACAAATAATAAGGGTTGCCTGCATCTTGAGTTAATTGCCATTTAAAAACAATGTCCTTTTCCAGTTCGTCCATTCACCGCGGTCCAGGTCTCAAAAGTGATTCCTCCCAGGGGTCAGGTGGGCAGTGCAAGGGTCCGGTGGTGACTCAGGTGGAACAGAGGTCACTGGCCTTGTCCAAATGAGGCAGCAGCTCCTCTCCTCCTGCAAGCTTGGCAGGGGTTGGGGCCCCATGATTTTTACTTGGGAGGGGCCCATGATGGCATCTGTGTGAGTGTGGCCAGGGATGTCTCTGGAAGAGGAGGTTGCAGACTGAGATTTTCTGTTTATTTGGAGGGTGAATTTGGGGTGCTGAAGGGCACTGGAAGGTCTAGGGCTTCCTATGTCTTCCCTTAGTGCTACCTCTGGGACTCCATTTTGTCAGAGTTCCTGGTATTTCATGAGAAAGCTGGAAATCCAGGGTTTTTATTTTTGTTTTGTTTTGTTTTGGTTTTTTTTTTTTTTAATTAGAAATGTCAGGATTTAAAAATATAAACAGCTAACTAAAAAATCGAAAATCCCTAACCATTGTGCAAGCAAATGAAACAGGCATAATAAACATGGGCAACTATGTTCCTAGGTGCCTGGTCAGCTGGGATACAGGTTAGAGGCTGACGGCAGGTGCAGGTAACCCCCTTACCCACTGCCTGTCCATTCTATGTGTTGTTGCTTGGACCCATTAACATTGTCTGCCACATATTTCTGTTTGGAGAAAGTTCTGCTACTGTGGTTGAGTCTTGTCTATACTGAAGGCAGGGCTGAGCTGCAGTCGGTTACAAAGTCTACCTTCAGTGGGATATTGTAAGGGTTCATATGAATTGAATTAACAATATTTTTATACGTGAGGCTACACAATCCTAAAGGAAATGTGACTTCTACAGAGAGAATGAAGATGTTCCTAGCACTTTCAAGTATATCGAGCGTCCCTCCAATAAGTGTATTTTTTTCATCTTGTGCATCTTGTGTGTGAAAGCTTTCTGTGAGGTTATGTCCATGAAAACAAATGCCTTTTTTTCTTTTCCTAATAAAAGCAGAATAATGAAAGATAAGGATAAGGTTACACCATGGCTACAGTGGTTGTCAACAAGCCTTTTGAGATTGTCTTTTCTGTTGAAATCGGTTAATGAATTGGAGTTTTCCACTGAGCTCACGGAAGGTATCTTTTCAGATCTGGGAGCAGATAATCAGAGACACTTTTCCCATGCAGCATTTTGAAGGGCATCGTTTGGTCTTGTAGCCCTACCAACTCGGTCTGGTCCAGGACCAATCTTGCTAATTACCACAGGTGGACCTTTGGCCCAAGGAAACAAACAAGGCTTTGGGGCACTTCTCCGTGGCCGCCTTGGGACTGTTCAGAAGTGATGAGCCGCCAATCTGGAAGCCGCTTGGGTGATAATGATTCTCGAATGGGCTTTTATGTGGACGAGCAACATGACCTAAGGCACCAGGGACACCAGAAAGGACACTTTTTATGCAGCTTGAGATGTGAGTAGAGAGCAAAAGAGATTTCAAAAGATGAGCACCGCCGCTCTCTCGACATTATAAAGTGTCTTCTGAGTGACAACAGTGCATCCTTGTGCATGAATTGCACTTAAGCTTCGTATTTTTGGAAAATGACAATCTGTGTTTTCTGGTTACTATGGACCCAGTGTGGGCCTAGAGGTTTTATGTGTGCAGGACCTCATTAATGAAACCCTTTCAGTGATTGGGAGAGGCAGGAGTGGTTCTTGCCCCCATTTTACAGGGGAGGAGACTGAGGTCCCTGAGCTAGTGAAGGATCCAGCTGGGACTCTCGAGCTCAAGTCTGTGGATCCCAAAGCTTGTGCTTGTTGAGGCTCAAGAGACGATAGAACTCGCAGTGGCTTGGATGTGGCAGGGACTCATTTCACTTGTCTTTTCTCAAGACATGGGTGGTGGGAGTCATCAGGCTGACAGAGCATCTGATGGGAAGTTCAAAGGACTTTAGCCTGGTTAGCAGTGTGTTTGGAATCACCTTGTAGGGTTGACCTTAAATCTTGGGGATTTTTGCAAATTCATTATCAATGTAAAAAAAAAAAAAAAAGCCTGTTAGTGATGCCAGGGGAGGGCCATTGTGGATTACCGCTTGATTAATCATGGCTGAGTAGGGAGAGTTGCTGTCATTTTTCTTTTTGGCTGAGTAGGGAGAGTTGCTATCATTTTCCTTTTTCTTTTGTTTCTGTGAAGCTCCTCACCTTCCTATCTCAGCCAGATGTCTTCATCAACCCCATCTCCTTCCAGCTCCTTGGGAAACTTACCACATCTGTTTTCTTTTTGCTTTTGAATAGTCTTTTTCTGTCAACTGGACCCTTCTTGTTTTCTTTTTCACCAATGTTGCAAAAGTTGAAAGAATTGTACAGAGAACATCACACACTTACCACCCAGATGCCACGATTGGCATTTGCTGTATGTGCCGGATCACACATCTGCTCTTCTGTCCATTCTTCTAACCACCCGCCAAGACTTTAAAAAAATGCATTTCAAAGCAAGTTGCAGACATTTTATACTCACTTCCTAAACACTTCAGCCTGCACACCACTGACCAGATTTCAAGATTCATTTTTGTTTCTTTTCTGTTAAGTAAAAATTTACAGTGAAATGCATAATTCTCACATGTAGCATTGGGCAAGTTTCCCCCATTGGCTTTTAATACATCTGCTAATCTCTTCTATTACAAAATCAAGCCCAATCTGCCCTTACCTCAGGCCTATTCAGCTACTGCCCCGAGTTGCTCCTCCTCATTTCCAATCAGACTTTTTGACAGCACTGTCCCCGTTTCTTCCCTCCAGCCTCTCCCTGCTCCCATCTGGCCCATTCCCTACCCATCCTGGCATCTTCACTGAGGTTACCAATTCCTTCTGTGTCACCAAATCAAGGGATATTTTCTAGTCGTCACTCTCCTTAGCTCTCGGTGGCACCTCAAGCTCCTTTCCTCCGGACACACTCCCTTGCCTGACTTGCAGGGTGTGACGCTCCCTGGGCTTTCCTCACAGCCTTCTGGCCACATTCTTTCTCTCATTGAAGTCTCCTTTGCCATTTTCTCGTCTGAAATTAAGTATTGGAATTGCTTAGGGCTCAGCAATTCCACACTGTTTTTCTGACTCCATATTTTCACAGACATTGATCTCATCCTCTTCTGTGGTTTCCATTTCCTGCCCCCTACCCACAACCCTCACATCTGCATGCTGCCTGGCATCTCTCCTGCAGCTCTAGGCCTGTATTCCAGCTCAGCGCTCCTTCTTGGATGGTCCAGAAGCACCTAACATGTTCATGTCCAAAACCTGACTCAATCTTTCCTCTTCACACTTGTTCTCTGTCTTAGTACATTTTGTGTTGCTAGAATGGAATATCTGAAGCTGGGTAATTTATAAAGAAAAAAAGGTTTGTTTGGCTCACGATTCTGATGGTTGAAGAGTTCATGATTGCGTCTCTGCATCTGGTGAGGGCTTCAGGCTGCTTCCACTCACAGTGAAAGGGGAACCCCGACTCGCAGAGATCACTGGTAAGAGAGGAAGCAAAAGAGAGTGGGGAGATGCCAGGCTCTTTTTAACAAGCAACTCTTGCTGGAACTAATAGAGTGAGAACTCACTCACTCCCATGGGAGGGCATTGCTCTATTCATGGGGGATCTACCCCATGACCCCAACACCTCCCACTAGTCCCCACTTCCCAGCACTGACACACTGGAATCGACTTCAACAGGAGATTTGGTGGAAACAAACCATGTTCAAACCACAGCGTCCTCCTCTACGATTCCCCCAGCACAGGGAGTGGCATTACCATTAACCCAGGGGGCATCACTGGCCCCTCCTCCACTGCCAAATTGTATTGATTTTGCTTCTCACAATTTTGTCTTGATGCCGACTTCTGCTTCTCTCCACCGCCATAGTCAGGGTTCATATCTAGCTGGGTCTCCCACCCTCTTGACGCCCTCCCAACATGCATTCTCCACCCAGCAGCCAGAGTTCTGTTCTCAAAACACTAGCCTGGTTCTGATGCTCCCCTGCGTACACCGGCCAGTGGATTTCCAGTGTCTTCTGTCTTTGCAGGGATTGCAAGGATCTTCTGGGTCAGGCCCCTGCCCACTTCTTCAGGCCCCTCTCTCTACCCCCTGACCCCACCACTCTCTGTTCTCCGACCTCACCAGCCCATCATGGCTTGGTTCCTCTCACCGCTGACCTCTGCCCATGCTCTTCCCTCTTCAGGAAGCCCTTGCCCCTCTCCTTGTCTGCCCAGGCCTCCCCATATGCACAACTTGTCCTGCAAATGCCTCCCTCATGTTATGTGTCTTATGACGCCACATGCCTCTCCTTTCAGATACTTAGCATGGTCACACTTTTACATTTCACTGTGAGCATCTTTGATTAATGTCCTCTTCCTTGTGGAAGCTTCATGACAGTATTTTTTTCCTTTGCCTTTGTTGGATCTTCAACACCTAGTGAAATGCCTGACACATATTAGACACACAACTGTTTGCTGACTGAATACATGAAATTTCATTCTTTACATATTCCTAATTTTTTAATGGAAGGCAATTAATGTTAGCCAAGGTACCAAAATTGGAGAATTACTGTAATATCTGTGGTTCAGATTTTTGAAAATATTTTGATAAATCTGGGACATCTAGTTCCTTGGGCGGGAAACAAAGGCTCACTCATGTCACCTCAGTTTTTAAAAAAATTTGGACAGTGGTCATATGCTCTGTGGCTTACAGAGCAGGGGCAGGAGACCTGGAGCCTGGCTATTAAGGGTGAATGCCTCCTGGTTATGCTGTTATTCTTGTTTGCAGAATG